TGTTTCCCTGACCAAACGCGCATCAAAGGACGTCAGCCCTCCACCTCACCAACGCATGCCCATATGGCATCTACTACCAATCTGTCGTCCCTTTAGAAAAAAAAAAACCAGTAATGCTTTATGAAAAAATCTGTCCTACTTCAAGTAAAACCCTAACTCGCCTGGAGAGATCTGACACCAAAGCATACAAAAACTGTCGGGCTTTTCTCCATAACCTACTAAAAAAATTATCTTTTCGGTGTCCTATAAACTCTGCTCAGTTTTTGTCTCACTTAGGATTGATTTGCATTGAAATAAAATAATCCTCTTTGGAGATGCCTTTAACAAAAATATATTCAGGAGAAAATGATTTCGATTCATACTATCAGGCAATCTGAAAATGTCTTTGCATATGTGATTTGCAGATTTCCAGGGATTCTTTCAACATACAAATACATACCAGGGACCAGCAACATTGGGACAAATACTCAGAAAAGGACACCAGTGGGGTGTGTATGTGGAACATTGTGAAAAAAAAAAAAAAAAAAAGGCCCTCTGGAAAAGTCTCTAAGAAATTGGCTGAGTGGAAGACATCCAATTTAGTAGTCCAGAGGAAGCCAGCTGAAACATAGCCTGAAGTCAGAAGAACTTAAACCATTCTAATAAATTTCACTGTGAAGGAGAAACGCTTTTCTCAGAGCAGGAACAAGTCTATATGCCCTTCACTGTGAAAGTGGCAAAAGGTACAAGTTGACAAGCCCAGGATCCCACGTCAGCTCTCAGTCTGCTCCAGGTGCCGCCATCAAGGCAAGAGGAATGGCTCCGGAGTCTCTGGCAGCCTTCTGCGTGGGTCCATCAGCCACACGTGCGTGGTCTGAGGGCATCAGATGACAAGGGAGTGAAGTCCCGGTACCTTCACGGTGAAGGGTCATCACTCCTCACTAGCCACCCTTTATGTTACACTGTCGGCCACAGCATCAACATCTATCAGCAGAAAAGCTAAGAATCAGTCCTATTCGTAGAGCCACATTCACCACTTGTACTTGAGGAAAGCCATCCTGCCTCTTATACACGGGGGTGCTGGAGCTCTGCCAGGGTTAAGTGTTGTCTAATAATTCCACGCTCATCAGGGTGGGACCCGGGGGGAATTCACATCCCTCTCAATGTTCAGTTTCAAATAGCAGTTCTACCATCACACCACTGCTCTGCTAAGATCATACACTGTAAACAGAACCCACACACAGCAGCGGAGCAGGGTGAGCCTCGCTCCCCGCGGCAGGTGCACAGGGAAGACCGGTTCTGTACGAGGCTCTGAGAGGCTCCCAAGTGGGACAAAGCAACAAGGCACCCACTGCTACAGACAGAATCACTTATTTTGAAAAAACTTCCCTAGACCCAGATGATATTAACAAGCACATAACAAAGACACATAAGGCTAAATTTCTGCTGTTTACAGCTGCTGTTTAGGGGAATGTGATCTGCATCAACGTTCTAATAAAAGTGAGCTATGTTAGCGAATGGAACAGCTTCTCCTGAACAGAACACACTTGGACCTCTCATACGATGCACTGCACAGAAATACATAACTATTGCAAGCATGCATATAAACAAACATTTTCTTCTTTGTTAACAATACTTCATCTTTTTAAATAGACAAGTTTGGATGTTTTAAGGTCAATATTTCAGGCTTATGTTTTACTTTTGCCTTTCTTTACAGTCCATTTTCTTCTTTTTTAAGTATTCAGAAACATGTTTTTGCAGTTGTACATCCCAACATCCATGTGGAAACTGGCCCCTAGCCTTATACACTAGTTCTTAAAAAGCTGCAGTATGCAAACAAAGATGCACTGGGCAGAGGGCCAGTTAATGAATCTCATTTCCGACTAGCATCTGCATGAAACCGAGCCATGGGGAGCACCCTCCCCGGGGAGCTGCAGAGCACAACTCAATCGCTCTGTGAATTAAACAGTGTCACCTCAAATGGCCCACATCACATTTATTTTTTAGGCAGCTCTTCAACTGTACGGTTTTCTGGTACTCATAAACGCGATGACGAAGCTGCAGCTGAGTCGGCAGCAGTGGACACGGGCTGTGAAAACCAGCCACACGGCTCTGCTAGGCCACGTCCACACTTGTTTTTTTCTTTTGTCATTGGAATTATCTAATTTTGTCAAAGAGATCTGCTTCTCTAACCCTGTTGGTTGCAGAAATTATTTGTCATCTCCTCTACTCCAGGCTGTGCAAACGGGGCTGCATGTGCACAAAGGGATGCCGGGGTTGAGATATGAGTCAGGAAGCACACTCGGCTTTATTTGCGAGCAAACGGGTGCAGACGCGCTCACAACAGAGGAGTGGCAGCTGCCCACCGCTGGCACTCAAGAGCATTGTCCCCACCTCCTGTCACCTGCACCGCCAGCAACATGAGGGCCCTTCCTGTTCAAGGGCTCCTCAACCATGACATTCTTCTTCTATTTACAAAGCTCTCTTTTAAGAAGTAATTGGGTTGTAATGTGGGTAGCTACCCTAACAACATCCCTGTAAAAACGGGAGCACATTCCTTCACACTTCAGAGCAAAAGCAGAGAACAGGCCTAAGACATGGGGCCTGCCGACACTGCCCAGTGGCAGCAGGCACAGCAGGACGAGAACTGCTGCTGACCTCACCCAGCCCGTGTCCCCCAGGAGGACGGACGGGTAAGCACCTCTCAGGTGGAGGGCTGCACCGGGCCAGGAGCCCGAGGAAGGCTCTCACTTGGTTAAATCTCCACTCTCAAATTGTCTTGCAACGCACTCCAGCCATGAAATGTCTATATTATTCCAGTCTGGGGAAGCCAAAATAATGACGGGATGATTCCTGTATAGAAAAACGTGTCACATTTTGCCTTTTCTTACATTTCTCCAAAAACACAGGCAGCCGCTGTATTACCTCGGCCATCTGCTTTGAAAAGGTGGCCAGAGCCACGTCAATTGTCTCTGTAAACCTGCACAGCACAATACAAATGCAATTTCAGAGGCTTCCTCCTTCAGTTTAACCTATGACATCTCTCACTTCAGTATCCAGTAATCCTATTACATAAAATACAAACGCAATGACACTCTTACTCAAAATTGTCTTCACTTAGATCTTTGGGAAATTTTTTTAAATTTTAATTTTAGGTACCATTAAGGGCTCCGATTGCAAACTGGAAATAAGTACTTCCGGAAATGGAAATAATTTGGACTGAATGAGAGATTAAAAACAGAATTTCATGGTAAAGTCAGCCTTCATTATCAAAAGGTAATACTTAACCTGCTAAGTTCGCGTTCCATTGCCATTTCAACTTATTTCATATGAGTATGAAAACACGATTAGGCAACGTCCTTTGGTCCATGTGGTAAAATTTTGTCTTAAAAGCAACTACCACCTTCAGAGCAGGGCTTTACCGCTTAGGAAATGAGGGCTTCAGACCTGTTACCGACTAGAACAACTCATTTACACGCTTTGGAGGGGTTCAAAGTGGGGCAGCAGCAGAGGCGGGTCTCCCACGGCAGGGTTGCAGGAGCCAGGGGCCTAGGCTGGTTCACACTTACAGGGAAACCAGCTTGGAAATCCCCAAGGGTGCATGTCCACACAGGAGCTGGAGCCATAAGGCAGGAGATGTGGGTGATCTCATGGACACAGCCAAAATTAACTCCCAGTGTTTATGGAACTGCCACAGAACACAGGGCAAAGGTCATGCAGACCTCTCTATCCGCACTTGGAGTCACGTGGGGGCGTGGATTTTTTTTTTCAAATGCTGTTTTAAGAGGAAGTGGCGAATAACATTTACATGCAGAATATTCCACCCACAACTACCATTTGAATGTTTAGAAGAAAGCTATATATAAAACGCAGTTACTTCCTGTTGCTCGCTAATGGAGAGACAGGCTTTAGAGGGGTAGGGGTGTGTGTGTGTGTGGTGTGTGAGCTCTGCCTCAAAGCATTGTTAGTTATCAAGGTAGCATGTAAAAATAACTCTCCCAGTACAAAAGAACCTCAGAGGAAGCATGACCATGAAGCTATCGGTCTCCTCTGGCCCTCAGCAGCCCAAGGCCCGGGCTGCATTCCCCATGACACTGTTATCCTTATCAAACAATGCAAACAATTTTAATGAGCTTATCTCCAGCAACATATTGCCAGATATGCTAATACAAAAAAAAAAAAAGATGCCAACCGCATCGGGCCTGCTCATTAATCAAAAATCTCACAATACAACGACCAAGACCTCAACACAACACCATAAATTACCTTCCTCCTGTCAAGAGGGTGGGCTCCCCCACCCACCCACCCACCCACGCGGAGGCCGTGAACTCCTCTGAAAACGCAAAAAACGGCGACCGGTTCCTTTCAGCCTGTCGCAGCCCCATCTCTTTCTCCTATCCCCAGGGTTGTACGGGGAGAATTTTGGCGAATGTCTGACACCGTGACCTCCGCTGTCAATCCCTGCACCAATCAGCGAGCAGAACCCGTACAAAGCTCCATCAATCTGGCGGTTTACCATCACGGTCTGCAGCTTCATCTAGAGGATTCCATCTTCCCTGCGCGCTCCCCAGGTTGAACGCAAACGTCTCTCCACCCTCCTTCGCCACCCTCCGGTTTTCTGCATAGCTACCTAATGGCTCCTTTAAAATGTAAAAGGGAAGGGCGAGAGGAAGTGCTGCAGCCTGTGTGGTGTGATGTGGTGTGATGTGGTGTGGTGTGGTGTATGTGTGTGTGTGTAGGGGAGACAGCATGCATTTTCATCAATGTGCAGGCAAAGAGATGGAGGCGGCGACCCTCGTCACAAAACGCTGCCCTTCTGCAATCGGAAAGCCTCCGTGCCGACCCCACAGGACACCCAGAGACAGAACTGCCCCCTCCCTGCCTGCACCCCCGGAGAACCGCAGCCGCCCTCACACAGCACGTCTGCAGCCCGGCTTTGCTCCATTATATAACGGGCCGGATTTCCGCGCGCCCCCGCGCCGCTCCCCCGGCCCCGGCCGCCCCTGTGCCAGCCCCATTACCTGTAGGAACGCTCCCCGCGCACTGTGTGCTTCCGGAAAGGGATGATGGTCCCGTTATCCTGGATGATGTCGTTGTTGTTCTCGCCATTGGGGGACAGGGTTTGGGTCGGCCCAGGCATTGGCGCTCTCCCGAGGAAGGGAACAAACCGCTGCGGGCTGGCTGCTGAGGAAGCTGGCGGCTGCGTCTTCCCGCTCGCTCTCTGGCTCGCTGGCGCTCCCGGCCGGCTCGGCGCACGGACCCTGCCTGCCGCCTGCCCGCTCGCCGCTCGCCGCCTGCGCCCGCCCCGCCCCTCCGCCGCCCCGCCCGCCCGCGCGGGCGTCAGCCGGTCACGTGGCCCGCCCGTCCCCATGGCAACGCGCTAACTCATCACCTCGCCTCCCTCGGCGCTGGGCGAGCAGGCCAGCCGCTCCAGGCAGGCACCGGGCCGGCCTACATCTGGCACGTAAAATCCCAGGCCACCGCGCAGCCCCCCTCGCACGCTCGCCTTGTCTGAAAACCAGCTCTTCCTCTAACCGTTTCCTTTCCCGACCCGGGCTCTCAACTGCAGCTGTGTACACAAAAGAAGGATTCTGGCGCAGGGCTGCGGGGGACCCTTTAACTCCTTCAATACCAAGTTCTCAGGCCAGGAAAATGAAACTTGGCAGGGGTTCAGAAAACCCTCGAAAGCACTCCAGGCCTGCTGTAAGAAAAGATATCCAACGGAAGGAAAGGGTTAAAATTCCAACCTTCCTCTCGCCCTCTCAGCAACAAGAAAAAAAAAAAAGCCTAAAGAAAAGCGACATTTCCTTTAAATCAGTGTCCCTTCCTTCTAATCAGTGGCCTTTACATTAATAAAGAGTGTAAGTTTAAGGTTTTTTTTTTTTTTCTTTCTGTACAAAGAAATTCCCAAAGAGTAGAAAAAAAGAAGAAAAAAGATGACCACCATTTTGGAACACCATGGTTTTCTGAAACCCCCCAATTCAAATTCTTTATGCTACCTACTGGTATAGTTCAGTGAAGCTTTTCGCTTATTCCATGTCCATGTGAATTAAACAAGTCATTTCTCACTTGATATATGGAGGCTCTCAACACTCAGTTTTACATCATTGCAATGCATCTTTCAAATAACAGGCTGTGACATAGGCTTGTGGGTTTTTTTAAAATCCTCATTATAAAGACTAGTAAACTAGTGGGTTAAACGGCTGAAGGTTACTAGCTAGGAAGAAATGGGTGGGGACTTCAAGTTGACATGTGACATATTCTTCTCAATGTGACTGCTCCGTGGTCTGTATTTAATGAGAGCTCAAATGCAATAGATCCAGGTAGGAATTGAGTGCTCTGGTATACTCCCAACACAGCCATTGTGGAAAGAGAGGTCTTCCAAGAGAATTGCTTCTACTGTGAAAAATGTGTGAATTAGACTAAAATCCAAAAAAAAAGGGGGGGGGGAAGTTGAAGGATTCTCTGTTTATCAGATGTGGTTTCTAACCTTTTGTGGAGTGGGAAGGGAAGAATTGGGTTTAAAAGCATAAATGCTTGTGGCAGAAGCACTTGGCTACTGCTCACTCTATGTTATCGCATGATTTACCTGCATTCTCATTTTGTGATACAGATATTAAAAAAATAAGCAAAAATTTGATCATGCCCCACAATTCTCCAAGTGAAAGTCCCTCGTAATAACTTATTTTTGGTATCAGGCTTCTGGAATTGGAATCAAATGTTTCACAACCCAGATGGTCATGGCCGTCTCAAACAAGCTCCTCCCCTTCTCATCCCATGTTTTAGCCTCTCCATGTAGGCTATGATTTTAATCATTTCATTTTCTACTTCTCCATTTATTTCACAGTGCATAAGTTAGTTCTTTCATCCACATCTCAGTTTACACAGGATTTTTTTTTCCTACAGTTAGAGTCCAATTCCATGCATGCAAGGTTTACAGATAAAGGACCAGACATGCACACTGAGCCCTCATTGCACAGGTAAGGGACACTGCTACAGATTCAGTTTTCCTCTGGCTATTTCTGTTGCCTGAGCCACTGCTGTCAATTTCCTCACCAACTCATTCCTTTCAGCAAATCTTCCATTTCTTTAGGACCAAAGGCTGTGAAGTTCAAAGGCAGAGTCTACCAACGAAATGCCCAGTATTTTCAGCTTAAAGTCTTAAAGCTTAAAGTCTTTATTCTCTCACAATCCCATAATTGGTGTTACATTTGCCAGAATTTGTATATGTGCTTCATTCATTACAACAACAAATTCTATAGAGCACACACTCCCATTTTGTTTCTAGAACACTCAGAAAAGAGGAGAGGATAGCCAGGAGTTTGGTTCCCTGGGCCAAAAGAGGCAGGGCGGTGAGGCAGGTGAAGGCGGTATCTGGGAGCCCTTGTAAATCTTCCTGCAAGACTGCTCTGAGCCGCTTTGCTGTAAAGGGACCTAGAGAGCTCCAGAGACCAGCGATTACCCTCCTAGTTGCAGGGGTAACGGGGGCAATAATTTGAAAATATTAAACAGATGTGTTTTCGTTCCTCTCCTCCATAAATCAGGTTACCTGGCAGCCATTCTCCAGTTCAGCCCCAGCAAAGAGGGGAGAGCAAATTCCACCTTGGAAAGGAAGATGAGATGACACAGTATAGGAAAGACAGGAGGAGTAAGGGGAAGGCTCATCCTTTCCAGCCTCAACCGACTATATAAAGGGGATAAGAGGACGGAAAACAGGGTCCCCCATCACAGGTCTCCAAATCCCAGAAGGAAGGTGTTAGATAGGTGAAGACAGAGCCACACCCGTAGGGGTTTTCTTTTATTTATTTTCCATTTGAACGCTAGAAACAAACTGCCTTAACGAGTATTTTCTCATACCCTATCCCAAAGCAAGGTGCAGCTCATGCTATCATAAAGACTAAACTATCAATGGGTTGGCATGGTGAGGGAGAAGGTGAGCTTCAGTTCAGCTCCTAGTCTTTCCCCCTTGTTAGCATGAGGTAGGGAAGACATCTAGAAATCTCTGTGTATCTTGTAGGGGATAATAAGCAGATTGAATAGATGGTGGTGAGTTGGTTTGGTGGGTGCACCACAACAGAGCAAAGAGATATTTAACCTGGGTCTACAGGGTGGAACTTTTGAGGTTGAGCCCAAATGGGAGAGAGAGCGCTAAAAAGCTATACAGTGCCAGGACAAGTCTGCGGGGAGATACTGGAGCTGAAGGGGTCAGCCTAGGACACTAATAGAATGCCCATGGACAGCTTCATGCCAATGACTTCTTAGCAGAGTCAGATGCTAAGAAGTCAAGAACAGTGTGAGAAGTTCCAAATCTCTCCTCTCCTAAGTGTCTACAAGTCCCATTCAGCTACTCCTTTGGTAGCATTCTGCACAAAAGCTAGGAAAGGGCCAGGGCATCTGAAGACTCCATATTCATCCAAAAGATGAGACCGTATGAAGTTGGCCTAAACTGAAAGATGCTGTAACATTGAGAGCTGGCACATTTAAAATAACTTCTGGCTCCCCAGTCCTCAGCAAGCTGGGGAAGATTATACAGGTTCTAGGGGGGAAAATGAGCTAAAAAGCCTTAGGCCTTTGTCTTAGGCATATGATTACACCTGCCCATGCAGAAATGGCTCTTCTCACAACTCCATGACTAAAGTAGGAGCTCTGTACTCAGGCAGACCTGGGTGCTGGACTTCACTCACCACCTGCTTACTCCGCGACCTTAGCAAGTTACTTCACAGCTCTCAGATTTAGCATCTTCATGCATAAAGTAGGTGTGATAACTCATAGTGTTGGCTTGGAGATTAAATCACATAATGTAGTTAACATGCTTAACACAGTGTCTGGCACAGAGCAGATCCTCATTAGTGGCAAGTGTTGTTTTTATATCCTCTGTTAGGCCTACTCTAAAACGTTTATTCATTTAATATTGGCAACTGGGTTTTTGTGTACTAAGAGCTGGTCAAGGAAACAGTTCTGGCTTGACCTCAAGGAGCTCTCAAGGTTGTGGTTTAAGTAATAGTCATCAGCTATTAGGGTAGAACAGAAGTGCTGCAAGAATGGTACTACGTAGCAAAGCACAGCATAGCATAGGGTGGAAGCATAGAATATAAGCACCTAATTCAGAGTGGGAACTGGGCAGTAGGTCTGAAAAGTTTTCTCTGTGCAGATGATACCTAAGTGTTAGATGAGTAACAACAACAGTAACCTTTTCTGTTCACTTCTGATGCAGCTCAATAGAAGATAACACCTGTTAGAGCAGGGGGTAGCAGGTATGCTGTATCTGCCAGTTCCTAGAACAGGCACTGGAAGATAGTAAATACCAAGTGAATGTATTATTCATGCAAGCATTTATTTATCAAATATCAGATTTGATTCTCCTAATCCTTATGAGAAAACTGATACTCAAACAAGAGAAGCAACGTGTCCAAGATTGGATACTAGGGATTCTTGGTCCCAGAAGTCACATGCTTGTTCATTAGACTATGTGGTCATTGAGAGGAGGAAGCACAATACAGAAGGAACATAGAAGCATTTCTGGCATATAGTTGCAGGTATAGAAGTAGGAAAGCGAACAACATTGCTAGGAGACAGCCATGATGTCATGTGGACAGAGTACAGAGTGTAGAATGGAAGGAAATGCAGCAAGGATCAAGGTGCAGTGTAGAAAGGTCTTACAGCCAACCTAGAGCGTGACCTAAATTCTGACAGTGATCTGGAACCTTCAGGTGTTGTAGGCAGAGAACTCAGTGGTGAAATGTGCTTATCAAGAAAGTCTGCTGCTGGATGTAACACAGAGAAATCACCTACGGCAGAAGATAAAAAAGGAGTCAAAGACTAAGGGAGAACTAAGCCAAGGCAGTGGATAAGCTAGTGTGGAAGAAAGCACAAACTTGGGCTTAATGTGGTACAGCAAGTTGTGCTGCCAGCATCTATATGAGCACCTGTTATAGGCCCAGTTTTTCCATTTCTGATTCAGCTGTTTGTCAATGCTCCTGAGGAAGCAGCAGAAGATGGCCCCAGCCTTTGCAGCCATTCAGGGAGTGAACCAGTGAGTAGAAGGTTTCTATGTCCATTCCTCTGTAATTCTGCCTTGCAAATAACTAAATGAAATTCTTAAAAACCACAAATTTGAGATATTCAAGGGATCTGATAATTACCCAGATTGGGCATGGGCATGGATGAGGTTAAGGATGGGCAGTGAAAGAGATCGTGTAGAGAAATCACAAGTTATTGTTTGGGTGACTTAGTGAATAATACATCATTTATCAAGCTAAGAAACACAGATGAAAGA